TAGTGCAAAGATTAAAAATACGCTCACAACCGCACCTCTGAATATCCTGCAAGTGTATGTGGATATACGCCACTTTCTGTATATTCAAATACAATTTTATTAACGTTGAGGTTTATTAAAATCACTGCTGTAGAGACTTAATATGATCTTGTCACAAATTGTAACTTACACTGGATGTTTTGACCGCATCGTTTTAGGAGCGAAGTACACAATCGCAGCTAGCGGCGTCTTGGTAGAACTCACACAGGTTCGACATAAAATTAGCGACCTCGTGGAAAATTATCATTCCGTTTTTGTGTAAATTCGGCAATTTTGTTCAACTAGTTGTATTTGTTCGATCCTGATGCTGTTTATATTTCAGAAGCCCTGCCCGGTAAAGTGTTTAATATATGTCTAGATCTAGACAATAATACACAAATACTGCGTTTTTTATGTTAGCAAAGGCGAGGGTACGATTTCACATGGGTCAGCGATATATAGATGTGCAGAAGAACATATGAATAATATGAAAAGTGCCTGTGCTAATATTTGTATAATAATATTAATAATTTCCTGTCTCCGCTAACAAGTTTCCCTATGTGATGTTAATTGATTGTTCTGTTTTAATTTCATTTCTATGCTTCTACTTCAACAAAGTCGATAAAGATAATTTGTTGTGGAATATGGTTTATTTTAGTACTAAAGTCATACAGAACATTGACCGCGGAAAAATATTTATCACGTATGATAAATTTTACGGCGCTCCAGAAGTGTTTGTACCAATATGAAGGCAACTAATTTTGTTCGCCGTGAAAGAGATTGGAACCTATGTGCAAGGGTATATTTCACTTAGCCAACACAGACAATTTTATAAAATCGATAAAGACAATTCAATTCGTTGTAGAATATGCCGGTAGTTTATTTTGGTACTGAAATCATACATTGGCATAAACATTGACCTCTATAGGGAAAATATTTTATCACGTATGACGGAAACATTTCTCTACAGTTACTGCATGCGTGAAATGGTTGACTTCTTTTTGAAATGGTGTCGCTGATAATAATGTACGTTACTTTACTTTGTTTACGACGTAAAGTTACAAATCAAATCACCGCAGGAATGAACATAAGATAGATAAGCTATGGCTATAAGTCTTAGAAAGAAGATGAATTCAACATAATAGAGTTTTGTGTGTTATTTTGGACATTTTTTCTATCGTGTAATCTTTTTTTATTTGTAGCCCTTTTTCGGCCGCCTTTATCCTGTATTCTGCTGGGTTTTTTTGGCATAAAAAAACAACTTATATCTGGTGTCTTGCGCTGCTAGTTAGACGGTGGACTTGATTTTTAAAGCAGCTACACAAGACGTGTCATTAATCTCATCGTATTCTACACTACACCATTCCGTTAGAATTGACTTCTGAAATAGGATTCTTCATTATTTTAGCGAAAAAACGAAAACATATATATAAAAAAATTCATATAAAGAACGAGCTAAAAACGGGTTACCAGTCTAATCTAGGAAAGGTAACATCTCACCAATCAAGGAGGATCGTTGATAATCGACAAACTTTAGTCAACTACGGTTGTGTATAGCGCGGTTGGACGTCAAAAAGCCAAGGAATTTCATCACGCAAAATTATACAATAGAGTGGTTAGGATTTGCGAACGCCATCTTATATTAACTATGTTATGTATTCTTGATGCTTCCCCCCAGCTTAGACCGATGCGGGCAATATTGTAATGACCTACACTGCTTATGAAATCGGGAAACAAGCCAAAAAATCACCTTCAGTCCAAAAATAGTCGAGTCAAATAGGTCGAGTTTAACAGGTCAGCCCATTTCGTATATTTCTATAAAGTATTATTCCTATTGCCAATAGAATTTAAAGTTGATTGTGTGAATTACCTTTGTTCAACTTTTCCACTTTCGTGCATCTTTCGGTTACTTTGAATTTCACTCACTCGCACCACTGTTCTACTTCCGACCTTTTATTTGCACTATTTTACGTTCAATTCAGAAATAGTCCTGAAGTTTCGTTTATCGGAAGCCTTTTTGATTATCGTCAAATTTTTATCGTTCTTATGTCGGTATAGATGACTGTGTAACAGAGGTACTTCATAATCAGAGTTTCGGGTGCCGTTGTGAAATAGACTTGTTCAGCTTTTTGCCAAAAGTTTTTCTAAACGCAAACTCTGAAGTAAACGATACTGTTCTATGAGCAAGTTTAAATACAAATAGATTTAAGGCGTGGCATCACGTGACAAAATAGAGCGATTAATAAAATACTTGAAGAAATTCGTTTAAAAGTAGGATCAGGATATGGGATGATAAACACCACATACGTGATATTATTGGATTGGAGTTTGGCATAAAAAATTAAAAGTAAAAAATTAAGAGCTCACGGTCCAGTTCCAAAAATTTAGTAATGACCAAAAATAAAACTATTTGAATCAAAACTGATACTGATTTAAGAAAGTTTTGGGCAAGTGGTATTTCCACCAAATAAATAAATGTAGATTTAAAAAAAACTCGTGCTTGAGGACATCAAAGAAATTCTTCAAAATAATGATATGCTGGGTTCTGGCTAGGCAAACTAGAACTTATAAAACTAGAACTTGAAATAATCTGTTATTAAATTTTTAGAAATATGAGATTTTATGTTATCTAGTAACTCAACTTTGGACAATTATGACAAATGAGGTGTTTGCGAATGATTTGGAGGCACAGGTATTCAATATAGAGGAACAATGTAAGTATGAAACAAGAAAATAAAAAATAAGGAGTTTATTGAGTTAACATTCTTTGTCAGACCAGTGAAATTTCGATGAAAAATATAAATAATTTTCTCTGTGCTTTACGTTTTTGTCCAAAACAAGTTTCCAAGTAAATCTCCGTGTTACAATATTCAAATTGTAATCACAGGTTGGCAATTTATACTTGTTATTAAGGTACATACACATCAATGAAGCCAGCTAATGACAGACAGAATACGTACGAGGAAGTGGGTGGAAGTATGTATCCTATTTATTTGAACACATTCAGGGAGGCGTGCAATATGACATAAATGTTGTTATTTTTAGTATTTTATTTCGCAAAGGGTGCCCGTCGTTATTTTTAAAAACCTCTGTGCACACTTTGGACTTTCCATCATTATGTTAGTATTTCTTTCCTTCTTCTTTTTTTCCATCTTTTTGGTATGAAAACATTGTATTTTTCACTAGAAGGCTATCATTTTTCATTTATTTCGAAAACTTCTGCGGTCTCTATGAAATTCGTTTTTCGTGTGTAATGCCGTTATCAAAATTTTGGGGGAGTTTCGCTTTTGCGTTAGTTCAAATCTGCTGCTCAGCTGCGATACGGTGCCGGTAGGCTACTGTGACAGATTGCATACCCATAACACTTCGTGCCGATATATTTGATCATGGCTCCCTTGTTTCAAAATATTCTAGTATGATGTCGAAGACACAAATACTTACATGTCACACAAAAATTCACATGTCATGTGCACACGAATCCATTCATTTTTGTAAATGAGAAACCTGTGAAAATATTGCTTGTTTTGGATGTACGTGTAGATAAAATTTCGATTCCCCTTTCCTAAATCTCGCTTTCGAATCGTAAAAAATTGCATACTGGTATGCGCATCACATAAATATTGCCAGTTTCAATTAGTTTTATTTCACAAAAATAAATTATCAGCAAATAATTTTCCATATGATTTCAAACGAGTCCGACCGACCCTGTTTCAAATGAAGTTTAAAAATTTGTCACCAGGAACAGCATATCTAAAATTATTCCATCTCGAAAAATGGAAACCAGTTGATTGCCCGCTTACATTTTCCCACCAAAACTTTTGTATTGTGTGAACTGGAAATTTTTACTATGACTTGATTATCACAAATCAGGAACAAGCCTGCGTATGTTCAAAATCAAATCTTACAAACAGCCCATGTAATTCGATGCTCTGTTTATTTGTCGACGAATCTATCATTTTGGTTACATATGAAAACAAAAATACAGTATTTTATTTCAGCGCTTACGTTTTTCATACAAAAGGAACGAAAGTACAAAAATGCATGAGTAATAAGAAGAAACTTATTGTCATCGAGCATTCGCGTTTTGATAATAGTCATTCACATGCTCCAGTTTGTATTCTTATATGGAGTGTCTCGTATGCCCTTGCAAACAAAAAGCCTTACTTACAGATATGTATTCGATGGTCAGTACCACAACCGGGCTTGCTGAAAAGGTCGACATAGAACCAATCAAAAAATGTTCAGCAACAGAAAATGGATAGGCCAAAAACTAGCTCAAATAAAAAGAAATAAAAAAAAAATTACATATCCGGTCAACATGTACACTTTGTGTTGGATTATACCCGAATCCTCATTGGCTGATATTGGTAAACTTATGGTCTTCAGTTCGTGTTTTTATTCTTTGCGTACGTTCATAGTTCGGTATTCAGACTTCAGAGTGCGTAAAATTTACACCGTACTTTGACTTTTATAACTTACTAACTCAAGAGTGGTATGTTTATTCAGGTGGAATGCAAACTAAAAGTAATGAAGAGCCCAATCTGGATTTTGCCCAGACAATCAAAGGTGACACTGATGTGGGAAATCTCAGACGAGAACTTACAAAAGAAACTAAGAATGCTGTGACAAATATGGAGAATCAAATCTCCGAGCTATCCAGTAGGTTAAGTTCGATTAAGTCAATGATTCATTCATTGTTTTGTTCTGTGAGAGAAACAGATTTTGTTAAGATGTTTAGAGTTGATATGGATCATTTTTCATCTCACCTAATACAAATTAATTTCAAACTTTCAGTGTTTGAATATTGAAGAGAGTCATATCATGACCTTATACTAATTGTAATATATAAGGCTATTAGTTTTTATTCCGATATTTCGCACAAACTCTTTATATTACATTCATGGGACAAAGTTTGACATTTCGCAATTTGTGCCTATATATTTGACCATTACTCTCATGTTGTTTTATATTTTCGTAGGAGATGTAGTTCGACAGAAAAATTGCTTCATGTTGATCACAATAACGTTTGCAATAATATTACTTGGAATGGGATTGGCTACTGTATACATGCTAGGTACGTTAAGTATCCATACAACGTTGCTCACTAATCGTTGAGTTGATGCTTCGTACTTTGGTAGCTTGGACTATTATTTATACATGATTGATGGTTTAAATTCTTTGTCGTTTAAACCTCCTCACGAAATCCATTTTTAGTATCCCCCGGGGCGGGTATGTATTTGGGTTTGAACGTTGAAAAAAAAAAACTGGTTTGGCCAAGCAGTTCATATTCATTCCTGAAGATAACGAAGGTATTGAAAAGGAGCAATCATTCATAATTTCACTTCATTCACAATAAATCAGCCATTAAATTCTTTTTTAATGTGACTTAATGAAAAAGATAAATATTGAACCACAATATACGCCATTCAAAACGACTGTTTAAAAATATGACCAACGAGTCGAGTCCACACTAACATAATATCTTCTTAGTCAAAACTCAAGAAACGCAACGGTTCGGAAATAATGGAGTCGACAACAAAACTCTAGCGAACCTTGTTCAATATATTGACGAGCAGAGAGAAGAAATCAACCAGTTGGAATTGAAATCCGCACAAGAGTATTTGATAAAAGATGCCGTGTTGGGGGCAGCAGGTAGTATTTTTCTATGGCCTGTTCTATCTACTGTTTGTACCACATTTAAGACACTGGAATTTCAGTCGTTTATTTGTCGTTTCATAAGTGTTTTGTAGAACATTTATAAGTAAACGAATAACTATCGCATTATTTCTTCGAATAGAGAAGTATATCACCGTCGATGGCAAGTTATTGTGGACAGGCTCTGCACCTGGATTGACTTACGATGTGGCCTACAATGTGTGTGCGAAGTACTGGTCAACAATGGCACAAATAAAAAACAAACAAGAATATGTTGCTGCGATGTCGATGTTGCGCCCAAAAAGTGGATTCATTGCTGTATGGATTGGCTTGGGAATAAATCCTTTGGTAAGTCCAGCTCCTACTTATGTTCACAAACCTTAAGTCTCTTTTTTCGTTATGCATTCTGATGTAACCTCTGCATGATTCAAGATACCATTTTACCTATTACTATTTATTTGCTCTTTAAATTTGAAGTAGTCACTTTGACTGCTGTGTTTTACTGATATATATATATATATATGTATATATATATTTGATTTTCGGTTTATTCGAAGTATTATTATTTGGGAAACGCAGTCATGTGAAAATGAACATTGACTGGGAAATGGAATTGAGTAACATGCATCATTCCTTTTTTTTCAGACAGGAAAAATCCGTCCATATAACGGATTCACGAAATGGTATGTTGGAGAACCAAGAATTGACAAAGGATGCGAAATTTGTACAAAAGTCTCACTTGTAGTTCGTTCCGATCCATTGGATGACCACCAAGGAATGGTGAACGCCGAACCTAATTGGACACGGGACAAAGTATTATGTCAACTGTGAGACAAGCAACCCCAGTATCATTTTACATTTAAACAATTGATGCACCAACGATCGCGGGGATAATATTTGAAACTTATTAGCGAGCAGAAGGCAGGCAGTAATTTTATTCGCATCACTATTGAGTATCGGTCAAGAAAAGAGTAAAAATATTTTTTTAACATAACTTTATTCCACAAAATGTACGGTAAGCAAACTAGATGTTGCTTTGTACAAAACACATTTATTTATCTGATACAGGCTGAAAACTCGAAGTTGCGTTTAGTGTTTTTGATATATGTCATTGCCGGTATATTCTAAATGCAGAGATCCTTTCTCAAATCAAATGTCTTTCTTGATACGAGCAAGAATTGTCCTTCTTTCAATAAACTTCAAAAATCAATGCGTTATTTTTCAAATTAAAATTTAATTATAAAACTGTACAACACTAAATTTTCCATTTGTGAATGATGATTGTTTCTATTTCAAATGAAGTTTGACGAACAATGTGTTTTAATTTTGAATCAAATTTGTTCCATCTTTTACTATACTATGTATGAAATTATCAATTGAACTTTTATAATGTTGTTAAATGTATATAAAGATTGAATATTTTTTTTTTCTGTATCACCCGTTTAATTTATTTGAATATTTTTGGATTTTGGAAATATACTAAATCTTTTACTTGTGAACGCGATGACCTTGTGTCATAGGCGCTGGACATAATTAACTGGGTGTCTGAGTTCGCCTATATCGGGTTTACCCCTCATGTTGTGACAAATTACTCAGCGTGTAGCATATCAGTTCGTGTTAAAACTTTGTGACTATCTTTGTTTCAGTTCCGGTTTGGGACGCACCGTTTCAGAGGCGAAATTGTACGAATTTACATTGTCAGCTATAACGGTACCTGTGTAGAACTGTTGCGGGTACATTACGGCCATTCGCCATTGTATCAGAAATGACAATCAGAATTGTAATATTGAGCTTTAAATGTTTTTGACTGTGACATTTAAATCTTACATCGCTTCCCGATAAATACCAGTCTCGCACAACCTCTTCTCAATATTTTGATATGCTACTTAAACTGTTAGAAAAAGAAAAAAAAGAACTTTCATTTTGCGGGATTTATGTCACCAATGTGTAAAGATAATATTATATCCTGTACTAACTTTGTTAAAAATATCAAAGTTGTACTGCAAACAGTGCATCGCAAGTCGCTTTGTGAGAGTGCAAATTGTTCGTCAACGTCATTTTGAAGATGTTAGACATGCACCCAAGAAGCAGGACGTAGATGAAAGTCACAGTATCTATGAAAATGGTAACTCTGGCAAATTGTCTAATAATATATCAATTGATAAAATACAATTTCATGTTATATATACTCCTCTTTATTGAAAACTTTTTTCTTTTTTCGGAAAGTTGCAATGCAGAAGTTCATGAGCTGGATAAGGTACAGGCGATATGGACATCAAAAAATATTTTGATAAACCACATACACGAATTAGATCGAGCGCCTTTAAATATTGAAACTGGAACAAAAAAAAAAAAGTAAATTATGATTTTTAAATAAGAATTCACAATATGAAGAAATTTATTTTATATTTGATTAAACATTTTTTTAAATTTTTATTTATAAAAATGCATTTGGATGCTACATACCGGTTCATTGGTCATAATTACTGACAAAAGTTTAAAAAACCTAATAATGCACGTATTTCAGTAATTGGAATAAATGAAAAAACTATCACTTTTTAGAGAATTACATCGAGGTCGGTGGCAAATTATTATGGGCTAAGCGGAAAGATCGCTTTCTTACATATAATGATGGCAACATTTCATGCGCAAAATATCGAGCAACAATAGCAAAAATAGAAAATAAACAAGAATATGACGCTGTAGTAAGAATGATACGACCGAAGGCTGGACACATTAATGCCTGGATTGGATTACAAATAAATCCTTTAGTGAGTGTTATGTAAATTTTTCCGATTCAAACTGTGTTTATTTGATTTATTTCTTTTCGGCAACTGAAGCGCCAATAAATTTTAAATGGTCAGTACACGAGGAAAAAAACAAACGGTGGACGCTAATACTTTTGTTTCTCTGCGTCCTTTGATATACGATATATGGCGGAATAAATGAATTAAAGAATGAAAGAAACTTCACAATAATGTTTATTAGAAAGATATCAACGAGTTATGTATCAAAATATTTTTATACAGCTTATATTTATTGAATTGGACCTGTGAATTGCGTCGCCAAATTCTAGTTGTTTTTATTATTTTGTTACGCGTAGATTTCTACACAACTAATGAGCCGAACGATTCAGATTGTTATTGTTATTATGTAACGATCAATTCCTGTACGCCAGGGGTCGGCAACCTACGGCCCGCGGGCCGGATCCGGATTATATTTTAACCTAACAAGTATATAAGTTACAATTACTCGTTTAATGAGCATATAGTTTATTTATAATTCGACAAATTGCAACTAAACGCAGAAAAGTTGATGCTAAGTGTAAAGGGTTCAATGACACCAAAAATATTCAAATGAAATTTTTTGCGAAGCAATGCAATGAGGAAATAAATCTATATTCTATTCAAGAGATATATGGGATTTTTATCATAAAAAGCATCATCCGTTTGACTTTTAACTTTCTAAAAATATGTGCGGCCCGCCAATTACTTGTAACCCTTAATTTTGGCCCGCGAGCGACAAAAGTTTGCCAAACCCTGCTCTACGCCTATCGTCCAATCATGCCAGCAAATTCGCTGCTCAGTTGAAGTTTTACTATACTGTTCGAATATTTGAGCATTGTTCTACTGTTTTACAGACAGGAGCTCTCAACCCACCTGACGAATTCACAAAATGGTTTGGTATCGAACCAGGCATCGGCTGGGGATACCAAGACTAATCAAGAGTCTCACTCGTAGTACGTTCAAAACCAATTAATAGTAATCAGGGAATGATGAACTGCCCACCATTGTGGGCAAGGAATAGATATATATGCCAGCTATGAGACTTCATGTATAAACCTTTTGTCGTTTAATATTTCTACACGAAATGTACATATGTGCGTTTTCTCCGCATCTGCTTCATACGTCAATTCGTTCAATCAAAATTAATCTCTATATACTTTATTTTAAAAGGTTTCAGCGTTACCAAACACTTTTAATAGGTTGTGGTAATTGCGTTCACCTTCGAGAATTAAAGTCCGGACTCATTATATTAGTGGAACTCGACATTTGCATTCAACTGTCAGCTAATGCTATAGTATTACGTCAAACAATATACAAATTCTGGTGCGAGACATGTATCGTCAAAATCAGTCGACTATAAATTCACATAATGGTGAATTATTTTACTAAATTAAAGATGATTGGGTTAATATAACACGACCGCCAGGTGTTCCAAAGACGTTTGAAAACATTATTACAGCGGGAGCATTTTAGAAAAGAAGAAATTTTCATATAGTATATGTAATGATTATTTACATTTATTATTGTAATTAATGACAAGATTTGGTCAGATCTTCGAACCAAAAAAAGTACAACGTTAATATTCTCCGAGCCTAAAACAAACTAAACTTATTTCATAATTTTTAGTTTAACCACATGTTTTGTTTTCTGCATTATGTATTTATGAATTTGACCTGCTTTTGCATGAATGGAGAATGACTTTCATTTAACTAGCGCTTATTTTCATGCGAAATGTCTTATGAAACACCACTTTCACTTTGAACTGTATAGAGTTGTCACGCATCTTGATGAAAACTGCATAATAAAGTAAACTAGTTAGCGATCAGAGACCGCCGACTTATCGATCCGCGTGTAATCAAAATTCCTAAACGCTCTACAATGCAGACAGGGCATTGTTACGCACACAATCATCTGCAACGACAAAAGTTAGCGGATCGCCAAAACAAGAACTGCGGTTTCGATTCTTTTGCTCTGACTCAATAGCGACATGCGTGTCCTATTTAATTAATAACTCGCTAATTTCACGACATAATTTATCCAAAATCAATAGGCTTCTGGTCCGAGATATGATGAATGCACATGCAAAATTTGGAGCAGATTCAACCTCGCTTTCGTGAGATATCGCGTAACATACGAAAGTTTCTAACAGACAAACAAACAGACAAATACCTATCAACATACTTACCGATCGAGATCGATCAGTAATAAAATATTGAGGACAGTTATACGTTGCTCACAAAATTCCGAGTTTAGACATAATCGCAATCTCCGCGTTATCTTTTTTTATCATGGAAATGAAAGCAATACATGTACGGTTCCAAAGACAATATGACAAAAATTATGGCCTAACCCTAACCTGGTACACACACGGCGGCGGTACTCAAAATAGACCCCTTTCTAGGACAAACTATCTCCTAAGAGGGATATATTTAATCACATTTGACAACCGTTAATATAGAATATAAATATTAATTATGTCACCTAAACCTAATACATTTCAAATTAATTCATCTTCCATAAATTGCGTAAATAAATAATAAGAATGGGTATAATACAGCGTAGCACTAAATAGAACAATATTGTACAATCTAAAATATCGGGATTTCCTCTACGACGATTCTTGAAACTGAGGTCCATTCGGTTCTTTGTTTTCCTACGCTGTACTCTCCCTCACAAGTGCCGATCCAGAATCCAACATCAACAGCTCCGCTTAGAATATCACTAAAGACAACAACAACTGTAAATTGATAATATATTTTTATAGTTTTTTACATGCTATATAGAACAAAAACTGGTTTAGCGGTACTCGTAGTAAATACTATACGGTTCGGTATACGTACGTAGTGTGTGCACCAGGTTTTGATTAGGCCGTAATTTTATTCCGATTTTTTTTATTTCAGTTCTGTCACGAGTTCGGGGACTGTCTGTGTAAGCCAAGTGAATATACCCCCTGCCCATGGGTTTCAATCTTTTTACACAACTTGATGTAAAATAGACGAACAAAATTAGTTACCTCCCTATTGGTACACACACTTGTGTAGCGCTGGTTTTTCTTGGAGACATTTCATCATTCACCGGCTTCAGGATAAGAATTGCAAGCTTTTTGAACAATCAATGCGTCGGCTTCGCAGGCACCCTACCTCGCCACCTCAATCAAGGTGTAGTAAATTGGGTAGGCAATACCGACGATTTCGGTGCTTCCGAATAACATTAGCGCTATGAGGTATCAGTGGCTACTTGTATATGGCCTTAGAGGGAGTGGAGGGCGCGAGTAAGCTTCTTATAAAGAAAGAGTTTTATACAATTTAATGAGCCTTCGATATGAATATTTTATCATTCTAAATCCGGAGTTGAAGTCGTTTTTTCTAAATTTCAAAAGTTATTCGCCGTTGATATTTTCTCATATCCGTAATCGAATCCAAATTAGTAGTTTATTGTTGAACATTTAGTTATCAATACCAATACTTAAATTTTCTTTTTTTTTGCTTTTGTGCAGAAAAA